TAGTCGGAATCCGAGTCTATGAAATGTGTCATCTCTGCATTGGATACTGGGACAAACCTCTCGGATTGATTAGGAATGCATGGATATAAAATGTCATCTTGAAGAAGAACATTTAGCACTGATTCCGGTAAGAAAGGAGCTGTTTTCTGGTTCGATGGCATGGACGCCGTGTCTGACTCACTTGTTACACTTTCAGGTAACACCTTTAGTCGGTATCTTGCTGTTTCTATTTCCCCGAATTCAGTTTTAACAACAAACAGGTTTTGGGAGTTCAAGGGCTGTAAAATTCTTATCACTCTTCCTATTTGGTCACCGTCAACTTCGGGTAAGTGACCTTGATCGGGGTTAGCCTAACGGCGGCCATGTTTGTTTACAAACAATGCAAACGATTGTTTTGGTGTTTTTCTTAAAGATTATATAATTTAAAAAGACTACTATTTATAACACAATTTTATTGCTAAATAATAACGTCTAATAAAAAGATTATTCATATTCTTTAACCTTTATGTTTTCTTTTTTAAATCTTGGAATGTGTGATTACAGCACGTTCTAATTATCAATGAAACGGTAAAAGTTGTCAATGAACGTGGATCATGAAAAGTAGTTCTGTCAACCAATCATATTTCTTCTCTGCTTAGCTGACCAATCAACGTTGAGAATCACTGAAAAGCACATGTGCAATTATCACAAAGACAATCACCTGTGTATCCTAGCCCTAATTTGTTATTTATGGGTTCTGTTAAGGCCAGGCCAATTTTATTCCTTGTTTTACGGATCCACCTGTCGCATTTTTTCAAGAATAAGAAAAAAAATAAAAATTAATTTTACCCACTCAAAAAATAAAATCCTAAAGTTTTAATTGGCCCAAAATGTAAGCTTGCAAAAAAAGTTTTTTTAGATTGTTTTTTGCCCCATACACTTCATAAATTGCCAAAAGTAAAATAATTTGAGTATTTAGACTGACTGACTGAGTTTGGCTTTACGCCGCTTTTAGCAATATTCCAGCAACATCACAGCGGGGGACACCAGAAATGGGCTTCACACGTTGTACCCATGTGGGTTGAGTATTTAGAAGGAATATTACTTTGACTGGTGATTGTTTTTGTTTTTTTCCCTCCTGCCTTTAGGTTTTCTGAGGACAAAAATCTGTAAAACAAGAAATAAAATTGGTCTGGCCTAACAGTACAATACAGGTTAAGTCTACAAAGTCTAGAAAAATTGGAAAAGTAATGACATTTGGTCCAGGATTTGGGGGTCCCATATCAGCCTCTGTGCAGGTCCATATAATCCCTGTTCTGCCAGAAGTCTGCATTGAGGAAAGTGGTAATACTTTACTTATAGCAGCTTCCATACTATTGTGGTGGTGACTGCTATACTTTAGTTCTTAGTTTTCAACAACGGTAACTATTGTAGAACTATTGTACTCCCTAACAATCAATGCCACCGTTCATATATATGGGAATTATGAAGACAGGGCTAAACACTCACCCAAATTCCTGAACAAGACCACATGACTAGTAACTTCTAGCAGATTCTTACTGGTCATGCTAAGGGACTCTTAATGTCAAATTCAAATTTGCGTGTGCTTTGTATAATTTTATCTTGAAAATGACACAGAACTAAAATTCCCTCCTCATAAGACTTTATTCAATCAGAATCAGAATCAGAATTTTCAGAAAACAGTTTTGAATATTTTACTGACTTCAAAAATTTAAAACCCTAGTCAAAAGCTCAAAACCTGTACAATTATATTGACAGCCTTAAACATCTACTAGACTGTCGGGATAGCACTTATCAAAGTTGCACTGGTCCTGTCAACATTTTACTAGACCCGGGCCAGTGGGATAGCGTGAATGTCGAGCCCTGGAAGATAGTACAGAAGAAACATTTACTATGCCATTACCAGGGTTTTACCTTGACTTAGGAAGGTGGGACTCCAGGAGACCCCCGGTAATGCATTTTGCGGGTCCTTGCTGGTTATATGAGGGTTCTGTAAAGTACTGAAATGGTGTGGTGTAGTGTATATTCAGATAATTACTTCAGAGCCTGGAATAAATCAGAGATCATGTGGACTGAGTGAGTGACTGAGTTTTAGTTTAGTTTTTACCACTTTTAGCAATATTCCAGCAATATCACGGCAGGGGTCACCAGAAATGGGCTTCACACATTGTACCCATGTGGGGAATTGAACCCGGGTCTTCAGGGTGCCGAGCAAACGCTTTAACCACTAGGCTACCCCACCACCCCTGATGATGTGGACAGTGGTCAGGCCTGAGTGATACAGATAACTACTCTTGGTGCGCTGTAGGTAGACTTTCCATATCTTTGTGCGTCTGTTTGGACGTGGTACTTGGGTATTTGTGCACCCGTTATCTTGTGCATTGGACACAATTTCCACGTCCACGTGGTACTCGGGTATTTGTGCATTACAATAAAATCATCCATCCTGTTAACTCAGAGGTTTATTCAGGCACATTCAGAGGCTGATATTGCTGTACCCAAGACATACTTGTTACTTGAATTCCTTCCCTAAAATCTCTTTGTGACTATATGTAAGTAGAAATATTAGTTTGTCATACAGACCCTGAAACATATATACCCAATGCAGCCTGTGCAAGTCTAGAACGTGTGGCAAGTCTAGATTATCACAATTTCTGACAATGAAGAAAGTCTCTGCACTCCTTCTTATTGTATTCTTATATGTATAATTATCTATTAACATAATTTAACACCTTATTTTTCGGTAAATTATTATTATTTCAGAGACTAGATGTTAATACAATAGAAATGTCTGTGCCACCTATTGTTGTACTTTACATCGTCAATATTTTAACCCCTTTTTGAGTGAATGAGTGAGTTTAGTTTTACGCCTCACTCGGCAATATTCCAGCTATATGGCGGTGGTCTATAAATAATCGAATCTGGATCAGACAATTCAGTGACCAACAGTATGAGCATCGAGCTACACATTTGGGATACGATGACATGTCAACAAAGTCACGAAGCCTGACCACCCAATCCTGTTAGTCGCCTCTTATAAGCATGGGTTACTGAAGATCAATTCTAACCTGGATCTTCACGGGTCAGTTTGCAGTATGTAGACCTGAACCATTGTATGAAATAGCGTCTGCCCGGCAGCCGCTGCTTGCTAGTTACATGGCCGGATTACAACTTTATTTTATAGCCAGCCCTTTGGGCCAATACATGTATATATATGTGACTATGTCATTGACTACAGGAAATATTTTGAAAATAATTTACAAATGTGGTAGCTAGACGACACCTGTATAGATCATAATCCATCAAACCATAACTTCCACAGATCAGCCAACACATTTATCTAACACTAAATGTGATTGGTCTAGAGAATGCTTTCAGCCAATGAACAATGTTGTTCTGTTTTAATAGTATGTAACAATTACAATTAAATATTTCCGTGAGCAACATTGTCTGCTGTTAAATTGGTTTTGCACATGTTTAAGTTTACCTCACTACAAGTAATTCATTAATTACATTATTTGAACACCTTATCTCAGTTTCCTATTTTTAATACAGAGCTGGTTACATGTTAACAGGGCCAGCAACATGTTTCAGGTATCAGCTCTGTGGGCTTCCTGTTTTTTAAGGAGTTTCATACACTTCCTGAACATAATGGACACATACCTTCCAAATCAGTTATATCACATTGACCCTACAAAATTTCAGCATTCAAAGAGAATCATACCTATTCTGAATTAAATCTATGCTTTACCATGTCTACTACAATATAAGTCTTAATAAGTAATAAATAAATTAGGAGCATAAAAAGAATATATATTTAGCAACAATGTTATGAAAACATTGTGAATAACAAGCACTCAGTGCTAATTGTATCCACAGGACTGTTTTGTTTGAAAATTGAAATTAAATTGTTATGTAGTGGCTAAATAGGGAGTACTGCACTTCACTGGGTGCACTTTTTCAGATAAATTAGCGCTGCTGGGGTTCCCTAACCCTAACCCCTAACCCTAAGGATCGTAAAGGGTGCCTAACCCTAAACCCTAAGGATCGTAAAGGGTGGCATACCCTAACCCTAAACCCTAACCCTAAGGATCGTAAAAAAATTTTATAGCCGCTAAATAATTTCCGATTTAAACCACTGGCCTTCTGATCCAAGGCCAGACACATTGTCCACATGACCAAAGAGGTAATGCCGACAAGGTATGGATGTCATCTCTGGGATGACTCCATGGAGTGCTACAGTTAGTTTAAATCCAAGAACAAGTTAATTTTGATTTACATAACCAAACTGATCATGGTTACTCCTTAATCCTGAATAACGGACTCATATGGGACCAGTAGAGAATCTGCTCCATGGTTAACAATGGAACTTATATACATGTCATTGGAGCAACAACATACACTGCGTGGTCAGACTTAGTGACTCAGTTGATTGCATGTCATTGTACCACCACAGAGAATATTGCTTGAAATAGCATTGATTTGTCTGGTACAAACTCATTTATACACTGTTTAAAAACATATAGTTTGTATAATGCTGAGCGTGATGTAAAACACAACCAAAGCAAATATAATCATTTGTCCTTTTTCAATTCAATTTTTCATTTTGTATAACTGACACTGATGTTTGACATAAAGGTTGCCGACAACACATATGATCATCGACACGTATATCAAAGGATAATATTTGTGGAAAGATTAAGAATTGGGCTGAAGGTATACATGAGATTTATGAATCTTTGATGGATTAATTAATATAACCAAAACTTTATAAAACATAAACTTCATAGTGTTATGAACACTCTGCAAATGAATGTGAGTGGTGAACCTCCACACAATACACTATTACTAATCTTATATTTACACATCATGTTATTCCACAAATACATTCATGTGACGAATGAGTAATTAACTGCATGCTGTCAGGTGATTTGGAAGCTGAAAGTTTATTTTGATAACAAATTGCAGACGATTTTTCTGCTTCAATCAAGTCAATTTACCTGCTCAGAAGCCAGAACAGAATACCAATGATAATCAGTGTCCACACAAAAGAAGGCATGATTATAGTCAATGTTCAGGTATTCTTCCGAAATGTGTACATTTGTCACTCATTGTTGTAAACATGTTTGATTTCCTCCCACCGAAACGGGCACCTGTCAGCTGCCATGTTGTTTAGAAATATGGGTCAGCGGAAGTACTACTTTACAGAAACTAATTACATGCTTCATTGTGAAAACCCTGAAATGAATACGGTACATCGTTAGCCTAAAACATATCTATTCAAGTTGATAAAACATAAAAACAATGTAGAACGATGCTAGCAAATAATTATAAAATTATATTAGTCATAATTCATGTAAATACATTACAGGAGACTGACATAACGGCATATATGAGCTAAAATACAATAAAATGTTTCTCGGTTGTTTTTATATTTCAGACGTGAACGTATATCTATGTTTGTATGTTTAGAAATATGGGGAACAACAATTCAAATTCATTCAAAAACGAGAACCATCAAAAACCGAAAAATATAATAAGAGGGATATTGTTCAGTTACACAGGGTAAACATTTCTTTCTTGATATCAGGATATGACTTCTAAAACGAGTATATCCTCGATTCGTGATACTCATTATATAGTTAGGGGCGGTGAGGTAGCCTAGTGGTTAACGTTTGCTCGTCACGCCGATGACCTGGCTTCGATTTCCTACATGGGTACAATGTGCGAAAACCATTTCTGGTGTCCCCCTCCGTGCATGATGGTGCCGGAACATTGCTAAAAGCGTCGTAAAACAATACTCACTCTCAGACATACAGTTAGGTGAGGTGAAATTGGGTTGATCGTCGTGCTTGAGAATATTTCGCTCATATGACGACGTGCATGCGTGTGTATGTGTATGTGCGGCTGCTTGTACTAGCCCAGATAGGAAGGATGCCACACTCAGACACATTATACTGATTCCGAGCCGACCAGTCCTTGGTGTACCCATAATGCCGAAAGCCAGGCAGGGACCAACAAGTAACATATTTTAACGTCATTTGGTATGACGCGGTCGGGAATCGAACCCGCGATCTTCCGCTTTTCGGGCGGACGCTCTAACCACTACACCACGGAGGCGGTCACAGATATACAGTAAAATACAGTAGTTTTTAGAGTAAAGTGAAACTGCGTCTTTTTTCTGAAACGATTTACGATTGATGACAGCACATTTCTTTGAATAAAGCACAGGATTTGGAACAAACGCTGGCTTCTCGATTAAACGCTCGTCCTCGGTTAATACTACTAATGGTAGTACTTTATGCATGGAATTCTTCCGAAATTAATTATCTTCGCGACTAAACACCGCTGATAAAGACTGTCTGAAAAGAATATAGACGTGGGTTGCTAACCGAGGAAGGGGCGGAGGGGTAACCTAGTACATGTAGTTAAAGCTCGGTCGTCACGTTGAAGACCCGGGTTCGATTCCCCACATGGGTACAATGTGTGACGATATTGCTGGAATATTGCTAAAAACTAACTCACTCACTCCTAACTGAGGAAAGACGGTCTTTCGTGGCTTTGCTGTTTTTCTCATTTTGGGCGGGTTGTTTTCACACCTATAGAATGGTTAATATTTTGGATGTCCAGTAGGTCAAGTTTGGAATCAACGTGGGCATGTGTTGGTCAGTGGCACCGGAAACCAGCGTCTCAGGGGTGGTGACTGCTTGGTCTTGAGGTCGTCGCTGTTCGAATCCTAAGAGCGCCTTGGTAATAAAAGCTTTATCTTGTCAGCACCATACGCTCGTATGTTTCATAAAAACGGCATTCGTCACATTCACCGAGTCAAAACAAATCTATAATATGATTAATCGACGGCCAGTGACCAGTCGACTCCGGGCTCAAAGATTAAGGATTTACAGACCTCACAGAGGATGGGCCCGGACTGTAAGTCGTTGGCAGCGACGAGACTGACAGAGGGTGTTCACAGCTCATGGAAGGCAGCCAACAACGTCAACGTCTTACCGTCGCATGCACGTTCCCCAGTCAAACATCGACAGCGACCACAAACTCCTGCCAGCCGACAAAAATACATGATCCAAGAACCAGTTATATGGCGACAGTCTGTAAATAATGGAGTCTGGGACACGACAATCCAGTGATCGACAACATGAGCACTGATCTACGCAATTGGGATACGACGTCATGTGTCATCCAAGTCAGCGAGCCTGACCACCCGATCCCTTTAGTCGCCTCTTACGACATGGGTTACTGAAGATCAATTCTAACCCGGATTATCAAGGGTTTTGTGTGTTGGAAGCGTATTGCTCCGCCTCAATCCGGGCACCTTTCACTCCAGTATTGGTTGTTTCATGGCTGTCATTTAAAATCATGAAAATGTCGATTTCACTGAGATCGTTGTTAGATCTGTTCAGTATATTCTATATCTTCCCTTTCTGGTTTTCAGACCTACGTCGATGAAGTTTTACTTTTTCCTGAATTAAACCGGGTATGAGCTTCTTCTTTTCCTATTAAGACAGCATGTTTGCTGTGGTGGAATTGGGTTTAACGTCGTGCTTGAGAATATTTCGCTCACATGACGACGTGCATGCGTGTATGTGTATGTGCGGCTGCTTGTACTAGCCCAGACTAAGCTGGTTTTATAGTGCTAGCCCACTGAGATACCATGCCGCAGTGAAGCATGAATACCCCATTCAGACACATTATACTGACTCCGAGCCGACCAGTCCTTGACGTACCCATTAATGCCGAGCGCCAGGCAGGGACAAACAAGTACCATATTTTAACGTCTTTTGGTATAACGCGGTCGGGGATCGAACCCACGACCTTCCGCTCTCCGGGCGGACGCTCTAACCACTACAGCATGTTTGCGGTGCTGTTTTCCTTGTAAAACAGAGTTTGGACTCCGACCTACTGTTTTAAGCTGTTTCAAAAAAGAAAGGATTTGAATCTTCTCTTTTTCACTATGGTAGAACCCGTCGTTCTATAAACGGCTTTACACCACTGCTACCCGCTTATTGTTTGCAAAGTTAGGCAAACGCTTATTCCCTGAATGTATATCATTTTGATCGAAACAAAATATTCATTTTAAATTGAAAGGAGCCCCAGTGAGATAGGTACATGAAAAGTAGGAACGTGGTAAAGATTTAAAATTTGGTTTATTTCGTCAAGGCTATAAATGTGAATATAGGTATAGTGCCTAAAATATCTTGTTTAACGAAAAACGCATTGTCAGGAAGGTTTCTCATGATCACATACATATGTCAGGACTCTTTTGTCGATATAACTGTTTAATCCGTACTCGCCGCACACCCATCTGTTCGGAGTCTTATTCACAACGTGATTATTTCTCATTCACTCCGTCACCACACACGCGCGCGCGCACACACACACACACACACACACATCCGATCCCACCCATTCCTAACCCCAACCCAAATGTTCTGAACAGTCAGTATCATATGGTTTCTGATGGCCATGCTTACTTCGATTGTTTGCGTTATAACGAGGGTGTGTGACTCCTCACACACGTCGTATATATTTAGATGTCGTATATGTGTTTTAAAGTTGCCTTTCACAGGTAAAAAAATATTTCACAGCTGATCATGTGAAAACTATCGGTTTCTTAATGTCCCGTACTCGTCCCGTAATTTTCCCCTTCCGCTGCAATGATAAAGCTCGAAATGAAACAATTGTCATTCATGTCAAGATTTTCTCAGATTATGGGTCTCCATGTCAGTGTAAAAGGAATTATTTGTTTCAATCAAAATTATACATATCGATGTGTGAGTGTGCGTGCGTGCGCGTGCGCGCGCGCGCGTGTGATGTGTGTGTGTGTGTGCGTGCGTGCGTGCGTGCGTGCGTGCGTGCGTGTGTGTGTGTGTGTGTGTGTGTGTGTGTGTGTGTGTGTGTGTGTGTGTGTGTGAACAAGTGATTTCTGCAGGTATATAGGCGACTATATTGTCACTATCTGTAACGTGATACGCATGATAACGACATAGATACTACCGTTATGCGTCGCCTGAAGGTGTTAATGAAACATATAGGAGTGAAATTGTTTTTCAATCTATTTAAATATATCTACTTCTATTATAAACACACAGACAAAGTCTACATCGACCGCAATATGACCCGAGTGTAGATCTCGTCTGTTGTACAGGATTTTCTAGGTCACCACACTTGCACAGTTGGTTTGACATTCATGGTCGTTCACGCTATCTAAGCTATCGATTACTCTTCTGAAAACATATACTTTTGATAGAACAAAATTGAACAGTAGCCTGTTGTATTTCACAGCTGTTCATGTAATTGGCGAGAAAGCTATCACTGTTTCTTAATGGCCTAAAGCACGAAGATACATGTAGTCATGGGTTTGAATCCCAGAGTTTAACAGAAGATTCCCGATACCATACTCGTCCAGTAATGAAGTAAATAATTTTGTTTGCCACAGGCTTAGGCCATAAGTAATTTTAATGGCCACGTGTTTAGACCACAGGTAATTTTGCTTGCCACAGGCTTAGGCCATAAGTACTTTTGATGACAACAGGCTTAGACCATAAGTAATTTTACTTGCCACAGGCTTAGACCACAAGTACTTTTATTGGCCACGTGCTTAGACCACAAGTAATTTTACAGGACACGCGGAGTAGCTCATATCTACACTACAAGTCTATCTCATATCTACACTACAAGTCTATCAACTATAAAGTGAGTCTGTAGATAATCGGATCTGGACAGATCCATCAACTGATTGACACGATGAGCGTCGATCAAGTAAATTTGATGAAGATAAGACACATTGATTCGTGTTTCTCTCTCACTACGTAGTTTGGAGTGAGTGAGCATGTCTTTTTTACGCCGTTTCTAGCAAACTACGGATATAACGAACTTAAATTTGTGATCCCCTTGAGTTCTCTAAATGCGTAGATTATTCTACCAGCAATATCAGGTCGAGGGACAAACATATTACCCGGGCCTTCGGCGCTTTAGTGAGTGAGTGAGTTTGGTTTTACGCCGCTTTTAGCAATATTCAAGCAATATCACGGCGGGGGACACCAGAAATGGGCTTAAAACATTGTACCCATGTGGGGAATCGAACCCGGGTCTTCGGCGTGACGAGCGAACGCCTTAACCACTAGGCTACCCCACCGCCCCCCTTC